TTTTTTGTCCATTATGCACATACACATAAATAACACTATGTACAATGATGCATGTACAAATTTTTATTTTTTATTTTTGCAAAAATTAACTTTTAAAATTTATGCATCAACAATGTTACGTGTTCGTTTTCAATAAAACTAGTAACTGACATAAAAGAATTGTAAATCTAATAATTCGTTTCTTATAGTTGGCGTAATAAACTTCCAGTATGTTTTTAACAATCATATAAAAGCAAAACAGTTCATGTGATTCAACACGGCTTCTTATGACAATTTCACTATATCGCTGATAATTAGGAATAATTGTCTAACTAGATTAGACCCATTTGTTTAAGAGCATAAAATATTGCTCTGTTTTCACTATACATCGCGATATAGTCCTTTCATGAAAACGCCTTTTATAACACACGCAGATTTTAACACAAATTTGCTTGAAATTTTGCTGAATGATGTTGATTACATGACACCCTTCCTATTTTGTTGCAGTTACTCGTTTTTTTTTTATTCAAAATGTTCCAGTTTTAAAATGCTGGGGCACAGCTTAAATCTTTTTAACGGGCCTAAAGTTGAGATTTTGGATGAAATTTGTTATTGCTAATAATTTAGGAAATAAATATGTTTAATTTTTTGCTTAATGAAAATTTAATGGGCCGTTTATTTACAGATATTATACAATTTATAAAATAATTTGTTTAAACTAATTTTAGTATGCAATTTAAAATTCACGTCATTAAGTGATTAAATTTATTATTATCGATTTTTGAAATAAAAAGTAATATTAATCAGCCTAAAATTCTTTATTTCTGCTCAACTTTAGTTCTGACTGTTCCAGTGTCATTAAGCATCTTTAAGGAGTTTCCTACATATGCGAACGATTCGGAGCAAACGGTAGATTACAACAATAGAACTTTTCACTATATTATTATTCACTTAATTAACTAAAATTAAAAGTTTTTGTTTTAAAATCGAAGGCAAAAGTTGTGCGTAAGTCTTTGTTTTAATTGTAATTATCACAGTGTTCAACAAATTAACTTTTAATTCAAAGTTTTAAAATTTTCAAAAGAAAATAATCAAGTTTTATTGAGAGTATATTTAGAGCAGAAATATCAAGTTTTGGAAAATATTCAAACTTGATATACTACTAGATACCTATAGATTACAGAGAATCTCTAATTTTAAATGTTTATTTGTTACGTGTTTGACTTACTTTTTTATAAATCGTGTAATATTTGCATGAATATAAGACACTTCTTCAGGTTAAATTTTTCCATAAATGTAAAAAAGAAAAAAGTTGAACTAGTAGGAAGAAATTAATAAAATTAGGTTCCAATGTTGTCACATTTTTAGTTTTTTGAATAGGAAATCAATATGAAAAATACCATTTGAATTAATTTTTTTTTCTTTCTTAAATACCCTTATAATTACTAACGCTTTATATTACACAGAAAAAAATGAATTAGATTTTTCAACTAATCGTAATTAGCTGGTTTCAAATTAGGTGTTTTATATAAACAATTAGAAGTATTGACAACTTCTTTAGCTGTTTTAAAATTCACTATTAGCTGGCTCAACTATTTGGAATTAGTTGAATGCAATATTAAAAAGATTAGGTGATTTGTCTACTCATTTAGATGTATTATCTAAAATAAATAGTTGAAAAAGTTCAACTAATTTAATTAGATATTTTATCTAAACATTTAGTTATTTTAGAAAAGAAAACAAAAAAATAAGTTTACAGTTTTTATGTAAATTCCTAATCAATGACTACATTTTTAAATATTTTGACTACAACTTTAGTTGATTCAGCTATTTCATTTTATATCAAAAGATTGACTAAAACATTAGCTGAACTACCGAAAACATTAGTTGAGTTATGAAAAGATCAAAATGTTTTATTTAGAAAAAAAAAACCAAAGTACCGCTACTTTTCTTTTTCAATGACTACTATTCTAGATATTTTAGCTATAACTTCAGTTAATTCGGCCACTTTATTTTGCTTAAAGAGGAATTAACTAAAACATTAGTTGAAATATCGGAAGCATTAGCTGAATTTAGAAAAAAACACTTGTTTTATCAAGAAAAAAATTCAAAATACCGCTACTTTTGTTGTATTCTAATTTTTAAAGTATTTGAAAAGAAGCTAGTATATGGTGAATATTGGTATAGTAAACAAGCATAGTTTACATTTTCAAGATTTTAAACAGTCAAGAAATAAAAACAGTGAAAATCGTATTAAAAGTAATACCAACAAATATTTATGCAGAAAACACAGTACGATATTCGAATGAAATTTTTAATTAATGGCTTATTCTATAAAACAAAATTTTGGAGCTTCTTTGGTAAGTTTTTATATAATCAAGTTATTTTGTTTAACTAACCAAAAATATTCAAATGTATTTTAGATTGAATTTGACTTCGAGAAATCATTTTCAGTGAAAAATTTGTTACTCTTTCGAAATGGGAATCTTTTAAACTTAAAATTATTAATTTTTATAAAAAGGAAGGATCAGAAAAACATTAAACAATTTTATAACAAGATATTCAAAGGTAATTTGAAAAATAAATTTTGACTAATTTTTAAAAGTTCTATAACAATTATTATTTTTGATTTATAGATTGTAAAAATTATACTACCACTTATTCTATTAAATGCTATTTTGAAACCACAAATGGTAAAATTTTTCATACGTGGCCGAAACAAAAAAGCAATGGAAAACTTCAATTTATTCTAGATGGACAGAAATCTTTTGTTTTTACATTAAAAATAATGTGAAATAACTAAAAAAATATTAAACAAAATAAAATTACTCATAAATGAAGCAAAACTTAATTTTTAATTTATAGCATTCTTTTATTTTCAGGATTAAACCTAAATAAATTTAGAAAAGAGCCTAATTTGTTTAGATACTTTTTCTAATATAATAGATAAAAACCCTATTATAATTAACTAAAAAATAGTTATATTTTCTATTTTCTAACTAAATAATTAGGTATATTATCTATTGTTGAGAATATTTTTTAACTACTTATTTAGGTGAAATTCCTATTTCTTTAGTTAAATTTCAAAAAGGTTTTAAAATAAATTAACTAAATGATTAGGTGAATCGACTATTTGCTTAGTTCTAATCCACCTAAATTTTTAGGTATTTTAGCTAGTATTGTAGATAAATCAGCAAATTTATTTGGTTAATTTTCCTAATTATTAAAAGTAAATTCAGCTAATTTAAATTAGGCAATGTAGCTAAATAGTTTAGGAGGCTGAAAATCAAGCATTTTATTAGGTGATTTATACTATTGTTTTAGCTAAATGTTCTACTCTTTTTTTTCTGTGTAACGTAAAAGCGTAATATTATGAAAATGAAAACCCCCTTTTCTTGTATTTTGTATTTTCGCTTTTATTTTGATATACCGTTATAATTGTGTTACATGGTTATATAACTTTTCATTTCTTTAACTTTCACAGTTTTTAACTGACTGTATGTTGCAGTATAAAATGTTTTTTAAGAAAAAAAAATTTTGCTTGATTCTAATATTTTCTTATTACCAACTGCATTGCATGTATGCAATTTAATCTTTAATTTTATTGTAATAAGGAAGATTATGGGATATTTGACGGTGGAAGAAACCAGTCGCATATAGGTACGTAAATTTCTAGACAAGAGTTATTTTTTCCATATAATTGCACCCTTTTATATTGAAGGTATATAGAAAATTTGTACAGATACATGCGGAGCCGTGACAAATTGAAAGTTGTTAGGACCCATTTTTTTCATTCAATTTTGGAAAAGGCTATAAAATAACTTTTATTATTTCGTGAAATTTAAATTTTAAACTATAGAGTATATCTTCAAATATCAAATCATATCAAAATTTTCAAGTTTTCTCTACTAAGGATTTAATCAGTATTTCGGTCAAAAGACTTCAAAAAGCTTTTCAAAAACAAATAAAAACCCTTCTGAAAGCGATAGAATTAGATTATTCTAAAAACATTGATATTGAAGATTAGAAAATGATTATTGGTTTCCACATTTAACGGTATTCCTTTACAGTAACACTTAGAAATCTAAGTGTTAAAATCTAACATTTTGCAAGAATATATTTTAAAATAAGTGATGTAACTGGACATGACTTTAATTTTAAAATGAAAGTGTTAGATGTGAGTGATAAGATCACCTGGTTGATGACGTTCTTGAAAGGAATTGTTGTTTTTAGGGGTTGTAAAAATAAAAACAGAATAGGACAAAATTTGAGAAAAGATTGATGCTTTAGTCTTCTACCTTAATTTTTAATACATTAAAGACTAACAGCTTAAGTTCCTTAATTAAATATAAGAACTGTTTCAAGTAGCCTAAGTTCAAAAATGCTTCAGTTTTCCTTTATTAGAATTATATTAGCAAGTTATCCTTTAAAAACTTGGTGGCATATTATACGAAATCCCCCACTTAAATTCCACTCGAAAAATATTATAAATCAATTTTAAAACGTTGCATTTTAAACTTCCAAACTGCAATTAGTCATTATTGCAAATTTTAGTATAAGATGCTATTGCATACAGCCACAGACATTTTAAATGATAGTTAATAATCTTCTTATCATCATTATATGAAGACCGCTGACAATAAGGTTAACAAGTTATTTAAAAATACTATTCATTAGATTAATTTTGTACTGATTTCTCCAATCATCTTACAAAAATGTTATTAAAAATTTAAAAAAAATGCATTAGTATATTCATAGGTATATTAGAAAATTCCTTCGAAATCGAAATCGATTGAACGGAATTCAATGCGAAATACGACTATAAAGCTTGATTAACTTGACATAGATTACAGAGCACTTAAGTTATCGTGGAATTATTAGAAGTGTGCGACCTTTATTAATTTTTTTTTTTAATGTTTTTTTGATAAGGAATTGATATCATAGTTAAGAATGACAGTTGAATATTCATTAAAATTTTGGAAGCTTTAAATGTCACAGTCTTTTCTAGTCTGTATTTCAGTTTGAACGTTAAATCATTGAAATCGCAAATATTAGAAAAAAAAAAATTGTAAATTATCAAAGTAAATTATTAAGCGTATCGCAAAAAATATTTAAAAATGATAATAGGTTTAAGTTAAAGAAAAATCAGCATATTTGATATGGCGAGATTAACATATTACAATGGTAAAGGAATTAATTTGGATGATATTATAAATAGCGATTTGTTTCGAGAGCACGATGAATCGATTATGATATGTGATCTGACTGATATCGTTGTCAAATATTACCTTTGGAAAACATTGATGCCAAAAGTAACACCCTTTTATGCTGTAAAATGTAATGACTCATATCCAGTATTGAAAATATTAAATGAACTTAAAGTTGGATTTGATTGTGCATCAATGGATGAAATTGACAAAGTACTAAGTTTGGGATGTTCCCCAGATCGTATTATATATGCTCATCCTTGCAAATTGGTGTCGCATTTAAAATATGCTAAAGACATGAATGTTTATACAATGACATTTGATAGTAATTATGAATTATATAAAATTCGAACTTATTATCCGGATGCCAGTTTAGTTTTAAGATTTCGTTGTGATGCAAAAAAAGCTTTATGTCCACTCGGAAAAAAATTTGGATGTGATCCATACACTGAAGCACCCAAACTTATGCAATTGGCTAAAAAATTGAATCTAAATATTGTTGGTGTTTCATTTCATGTTGGTTCCGATTGCCTTGATTATCCAATATATGAGGAAGCAATAAAACAATCTAGAAAATTAGTTGATCTTGGAAATTCATTAGGCTTCAATATGAAAGTTGTTGATATCGGAGGTGGTTTTCCTGGTGAACATAATTCTAATTTTATTGAATCAAGTCAGGTAGTAAATGCAGCTTTAGATAAATATTTTCCAAATAGTGATGAAATTTTGTTAATGGCTGAGCCAGGGCGATTTTTTGTTTGCTCATCAACTATTGTTTTATGTAAAATACACTCAATGAAAGAAATTTTGGATGATAATGGTAATATTGAAGAAATTTGGTATTATTTAAGTGACGGCGCATACGGAACATTTAATCAAGTATTGACTTATAAAGACATATATCCAGTTTTTCCAAAACTATGGAGCAAAAATAAAAATACAAGCAAAACGAAGCTTTATAAAACATTAATATGGGGACCAACGTGTGATTCTATGGATATTATAAATAAAGATATTTATTTACCAAAATTAGATATTGGTGATCCACTTATATATCCAGATCTTGGAGCGTACGTATTGCCATTTAGAAGTAGATTTAATGGTTTTGAAATATCACGGGTAGAATACTTTATCAATAAATTGTTCAAAATAGAAAATAACAACATGCAAGATAAAATGAGACCTTGTGAAAACTTAGGTCATAAAACTTCATGTACTATCCAGTCGCAAGGCGAGAAAATAAGTGGTTTTTCGGATACAAGAAACAAATTGTATAGTGTTTGAAAAGTATAAATTTAAGTTGCATTCATTTTAAATATGTAGTTTGTTTGTGACCACAGTTTTTGTTAATTTTACTGGTGAATAAAAATATAAACCTAGTACTTTTGGTTTCAATCAAAATTAATTAAGTGACTTAAGACAAAAGTATTTCATTTAAATTTATAAAACCAAATTATTTCCACGTTTTAAAAGGTGTAATTATACGCTATATTTGCGTATTCCATCCTAATTCAATATTAAAGTTGAAAGATTCGTAAAATAGTTTGCCGAACTTTTTGAATATGTTCTTGATTAATTCATAGAAAATGAAAATTTGAAAATGTAATTCTAATATAAAAAAAATTTTATTCTGCAATTGCAATTGATGGAAAAATTATCAAAAATAAAAATAAGTTTTTGATATGGCGTCTATGTTTATTTAGTTTTCAGAATTACTTTGCAGTCCTGCGTAAGTTCTACACTTTATGAATTTTGCTTTAGCTAGACAAGTGAAGTGAATAAATTTTTATCTATACGAAAAAAAATTTGTTAAAGCAATACATTTTCATGACTTATATAAGAATAGTAGGATTATAGGAATAAGTATTTTTAAAACGTTTCAGTAAAGCAAAGAGTTCAAGATCGAGATTATGTAAACAACATTTAATGACGCAAAGTTTGTTCAATATCAAAATGATAACATATACATATGTATACGTATGTACGTTTAAAAACGTATAAATGACGCTAATCATAGAAAATGTTTTCGAATTCGTAGATACTATTATAATAACAAAATAAAAATACAAGAGATAACCACTATAAGAACTCCATAATCTAATGAGCTTTAAAATATTGTTATTTCATTAGAAAGCTTAAAAAACCCATTAAACACCTGACATTATTGATCTTTCTGTTCCGAGTATTTATTTTACTTTACCGAGGCTATTTGATGGCACCAAATTTTACAAATTATAATTAACAGAATTATAATTGACAGAATTAACTCTTTCCGTGAGAGAGGAACGTATAATAAAACTATTTTTAGCGACTTGTTGGCTAGTTAATTTTTCTATGCACTCGTGTATTTAAATTTCAGTTGAACAAATTTATTATGATGAAATTTTATATCGGAGTTTATATTTGCCATGCCGGTTATTGATCAACTTTTGAGATAATATTATGTCAGCTTTAAGAAAATTTACTATGAGCCAAATTTAGAGTTCTTATCATTGAGATTTAGTTCATAGTTTCAACAATCAAAATTTAAATATTAAAATTTAAGAAGTTACACTGATTTTTTCAGTTCGAAAGTACAAATTTAGCCCATCCAGTCCAATAGTTGGAAACTTGTGACTTTATCATATTGTTGTATTAAATTTTAAGAATTTTGGCTCAAGTAAGCAATCAAAATACTGCAACAGTGTTATGAAACCGAATGATACTCAAATATTGTTTTATTATTAAACCGCTTAAACAACAATAATTTAACTGACACTCTTATATGCACATTTTAAGCACTTTTACAAAAAAATTTGAAAAAAGTGTTTATGGGTTTCACTCTGCCCATCCGTCCGTCCGTTTGTAGACATATTTACAAAACTTCTGCACTATTGAAAATATAAAGTGAAAATTTGAATGTACATAGATCATTACTAGATATGTACTTATTCCCGCAGAAGAAAATTTTTACTTATCTTCCCATTTTAATTTACCCGCTCTAAAAATTATAGCCCCCAGAAGTCTAAAAACGCCATTTTTTAACTATTTCTTACAGCGAAACCACAAATATTTTTCAAATTTTTCGAACGCATTAATTAACAGTGATGAATTTCTTCTACCGGAATACCATATTTGAACTTCAAAAAAACAAATGGTTGTTAAAATTTATGGTTACCTAAAATTCGTTTTTCCCAAATTTTTGATATAGTTTTTCTTTTAGACCGCAGTTTGTAGGACTCTGAAATTTTAGCAGCTTATAATATACAAATAAACAGTTCTTTTTTCATTTAAAAAATTCAGAAAATTTTTTCCCCTACACCCACTTTCAACTTATTACCTTTCGAAATTTGTAAAATTCGAATTTTCGGCACCTTTTATTTCCAAAACAGCGAGCTTTTCTAAATTTCTATAAACGCAGAAAGCAAACGTTAAATGCCATGCCATTAAAAATATAATTATTTTATATTTTATATAAACCCTTAAATTATTCGAACATTATTTAACACCTCTTTTAATTTTTTTTGTCTCATCCCAAAAATATGCAATCTTCGAAATTTTCTAATATTTTTATGAGAATAGTCATAATGTGGATTGTTTTTCAAAGCAGTATTTTTACAATATGTTAAAAGGAGAAGTGTTACTTACAAACCAATGGTTTAACCCAACTTTATCATAATGCATCTTTTCGTGAAGAAAATAAGGGAATGCAAATTTTGTTTTTGATCACAAATATGAAAAGTGATTTTCACTAATTATGTACAATAAAATTGTTTGGTTTTTTCCTAAAGAAAAAAACCCAAGCAATAACTTTGTCCTGATAAGAAAATGAGAACAATTAAAAAATGTGAAAAATGAAACAATCAAAAATTAATCAAATAAACAAAATTTCCCATACAGGTAGCTTTCATTGCCATGGTCGAAGGAAAAATAATTGAAACGTAATTCAATTTACATTAGATTTTCACTGTCAGTATAAGTGGAGCCTATAATTATTTTAATCTAAATTTGTAAACCTTAAACGAAAAATTAAAGTAATGACATGCCCCTAAATAAAATGGGGCCTGTGTAGCTTATACTTAGCCTTTAATTTTAAAATTATATTATCAATAAAATACTATAGATAGAGTCAACAATTAAATGTTTTTACAATTTTAACAAGTATTAAACAAGAAACTGAATTAAATAAAGAAATATATTACAGGTGTTATCAAAATACCTGAATATCTATAAAATATTAATTAGAATAAGAGTACAAAAGCAAAAAAAAATCGTACTTTCATTTTCTATTATTCTAATCATTCTTAGAAAAAAAAAGCTGAACACTCAAAAATGCTGTTAAAAAAAACCCATAAAAAGTTTTGATTAAAGTTTTTTATTCAGAACAGTTTCCTCATTACGATTTTCATTATAAAATAAGCTTTAGAGTTTTGGCTATTATGTTTTGTTATTACAGTTGTTGTTGTTTTTCTTGCTATTTTCACAATATCATGCTAAAACTGTGAACTTTAATTTTCGAAATTTCCCGTAATGCGTTCTTCTTTTTCGTTTTACATACCATAAATTTATCAGGGCTGAAATTATACAGAATAGTTCTCAGAAAATTCATGTCGATAAAAATATTAATTACAGTTCTATAACTACTTACAAAAATAATTATAATTATTAAATACTACGAATATATAACTAGTACTGTATTAACTTAATAATGTGATAGATCTTTAACTTACATTTCCTTCTAAAGGTTAAAGGAGCCCCTTCCTAAATTTGATAAACACTTAACAAAAATTATCATAAGAAATATACGGTTTCAGTATACCGTTCTTACACAAACAACTTTACGAAGCAAGAATTGTTTTCGTTTACTTAATTACTGATTTATTCTTTAATAGCTGATCTGCAGTACGATTAAGGGTATTGAAAAGACGGTTGCCAGCTTCTCAAATCTAACATCCAGTATTCTGTTGCTTTACTATTACCAAAACAGTAATCACGAAAACGTATATTTAACCCTAGCATAATGTCTGGTTGGTGAAAAATCATTGAATTTTCCTAACTGTTTGAAAGTAAGAAAGCTATATGTTAATGTCAGTCGATTACGTTTTTTTTCTTACTCCACTTGGGAGGACTAGAACCTATCACTTGAATTCAGAATTGTAAGCATGAGTTTTACAGGTCATTGAAGTTAACCAGAAGGTGACTTTCCTACAGTACTTTTTCTTCATACTAAATATTGAAGGTTACTGATATTTATTGCTTATTTCTTGCTATACAATATTATAGATTCGTGGGCAATTAATTTTACATTAATAGTTTATTTTATCATATTGCATATTTAGCTTTATAAGTATAATTATTGTAGTAACATGACCAGGGTTTGAACTGGAGGCATTGCGGCTAAAGGACCGGTGCCATAATCACTCTTATTGGTAATATTTAAAAAAATACTTTAGAAAATGAGAATGACTATAATATTTTAAGAGTGAACGAAAGAATTGTTCACTGCTAATGAATCTTAATTGTTCACTCCATCTGAATCTTATTCTGGGGAAGAAGAGTTGTAGATACACAAAAATTTCTACCCCAGTTATTTTACCACAGCGAAGATAAAACAATAGAACAGCGAAGATGCAGTTTTTTTTATTGCAAATGTTTGAACTAATTTTTATGTGGCATAAAACTAGTAATAATTGTTTGCATGATTCTTTTCAGAACTGTCACACATATATTAGTTCCATTTACATTTCAGCTTGAACCTCATTTTCTTTATTTATGCACAATTTGTTTTTTACTTAGGGCTACTTAATTTTAGTACAATAAAAAGTAATTCTATTATTCACATATTTTGAGGTAAGCAAAATAACCCAATGTAATTAAAACCCTTGATTAATTCAGCCCTGTTCATTAATAATTCAAGTAAAATAAATTAATAAAATTATGAATATGATTCTAAAATTTATTATCAAAAATTTGATTAGAGACCGCTTGTAAGAAAGTAAAAATGAAATAAAAATTACAACAACAATAAAAAAAAACTTTCTGATATGATTATAAACCACATAGGTAACTACAATTTGCAAAGTTATGAATAATTAATAATTTGTTTAAGTATAAAAACAGGTAGCCGTCCTATATTTAAGCATCAACGCTAACTATTAGAATTCAGTTCAAATTAGAACATACGACGTTACACTTTAACACGTAACAGTAGTAACAAACGAAATTGTTTGCTGCTTTTAAACGAACATTAAAAACTAATAAAATTTTGAGTTTTTTAACGTGAAAAAGAAGTAAATTTAATATAAATTAAAGGTATTTAGCGGTTCGATACTAAAAACAAAAAAAAAAATATTAATAAAAAATAAAAAGATTAATATATAAAAAATGGAAAAAATTACATACTATACTGGAGAATCAATCAATCTACAAGAAGTCATAAACAGCGATCATTTCATTAAATCGGATGAATCGCTTATATTATGTGACTTAACTGATGTTGTAACAAAAGTACATTTATGGAGAACCCTAATACCGAGAGTTACTCCATTCTATGCAGTTAAATGTAACGATTCATATCCGATTTTAAGAGTTTTAAACGAATTAAAAATTGGTTTTGATTGTGCATCAAAAGGTGAAATCGAAAAAGTTTTAGAATTGGGTTGTCAATCCGAACGAATTATATATGCTCATCCAAATAAACCACAATCACATTTAAATTTTGCTAAACAAATGGGAGTTTACACAATGACATTTGATGGTGATTATGAATTATATAAGATAAAGAAACATTTCCCAGAAGCAAGTTTAGTGTTACGATTCCGTTGTGAAGCAAAAAAGGCATTATTACCATTGGGTAAAAAATTCGGTTGTGATCCAAATACAGAAGCACCACGTCTTATGAAATTAGCTAAAGATTTAAATTTAAATATTGTTGGAATTTCATTTCATGTTGGATCAGATTGCTTAGATTTTCCAATTTATGAAGAAGCTATTGCACAAGCCAGAACACTTATTGATTTGGGAAATTCTATGGGTTTTGATATGAAAGTACTTGATATTGGTGGTGGATTCCCTGGTGAACATAATTCATTATTTATTGAAGCAAGCAAAGTTGTAAGTGCTGCTGTTGACAAATATTTTCCAAATGATGATGTTATGCTGATGGCCGAACCAGGTCGATATTTTGTAAGTTCATCAATGATTGTTTTAACAAAAATTCAATCAAAACGTGAAGTTATTAATGATAAGGGACAAGTTGAAGAAATGATGTATTTTTTAAATGATGGTGCATTTGGTACATTTAATCAAGTTGTTCAATTAGGTGATGTTTATCCTGCAATTCCAAAATTATTAAAAACAAAATCAATGGAAAATTCACCACTTTACAAATCTTCAATATGGGGACCAACTTGTGATTCTTCTGATGTTCTTTGTAAAGATTATTATATGCCAAATTTAAATATTGGTGATCCAATTCTTTTTGAAGATTTCGGTGCATATACTTTACCATTTATGACGAATTTTAATGGTTTTGAAAAAGCAAAAATTATGTACTTTATTCATAAACATTTCAAACCACAAATGGAAAGAGAGGAAGAAAATGCTAAATTGTTATCAACATGCAATATGCAATCTAAGAAATATATGAAAGTTATACAATTTGTTGAGGAAAACAGACAATTTGTCGGATTGATTTGACATTTGCTAATAGAAACTTTTAGAAAATGTATTTTAATTGAAAGAAATTATTCAACAAATTTTATTAGTATTAAGAATATCTCATTGATAATGCATATTTCATGTTATACAGAGCTTTACAATTTATTATTTTTTAAGAAAAGGAAAATAAAAAAATATTTTATTTATAAAAAAAAAAACCAGAAAAACAAATTATTGTGCATTTTATTTATTTATTTTAGTTATTTAAGCAAGAATGTCAAATATGCACGCGTGAACAATTAGACATGTTGTTTTCCTACAATGCTCATCTACTTTTGAATTTCAATATATTTGATTTTTACATAAGGAATTTTGAAATTGGTATACATATTCATTTATATTACTCGTACTCGTATGTAGACACGAGTAGTTAATGACATCTTTATGTGTTAATTAATCCTACTAAAAGTTACATACATATAATTAGGTTAATTTAGAAATTACCGATATAATAACCTTAATATTATTCAAATATTTATTACGTTTTTGAATTCTTGAATCTATTAATCATTTCTGTTATGCATATCCAAAATGATGCAATAAAAACTTTAAATACACAATAATTATTTTGTTAAGAAATGTGAAACATTTAGAAATTTATAATATTTATAAAATATTTTAGAATTTATTTAAATTGAGATATTTGTTATTTGTATTTCAATTCAATTAAATTCAATAGTTGTTACAAGTACGCTGATATTATCGTACACAGACTTAAATTAGTGAGTCTTGTGTTGTATACACTGAAGATTTTAATTATTTAGGAAACTTGTGAAAATATTGAGGAAACTTTTAAAATTAGTTGATAATGATGATCTAGTATGGAAGCCTTTTATTATTTACGGTCTTTTCAAATTAAAAAATATTGTGCTTTATATTGTTAGTTTTGAAGTTTTACAACCTTCTTCTCTATATTTCGTTCTCTGTTCGTATTAATTTACATATGACATGTTCGTATTATTCGTATTTAGGTTATACATACGACATATCTTCATATACTAACATTCTACGCAATAATATTATAGTGACAATGTGGGTATATATTATGTAAATAATTTCTAAAACGAAGTGTGGTTTTATGGTATGAATATTTTGGGTGAGGATTATTTTGTGCTGAAAATGTTTTGGTAAAAGTGGTATTATGATCACATTTCACCAAACTCACCTTAAATTTTTTATTTGGAATTGCAGTTTATACATGATTTGGTTTTATTCTTGATATAAATCTAACTTGGGGTTTCTAATAAGCCTTCACAATAATTGTGTCTTTCTAATTTTACCGCACTATTTTGTTCAATTTTAATTAAAATATTTTTGTTATATTACTTTTAATTTGTTGATGTAGGCATATTGCATCCTGAAAGCATTTTATGGAGTTAATCTTTCAGCTTAAGATTAATATTATGAAATGATTGATTCAAATTTTTTATTTTTGAAATTCATATGAAAGAATTACTCAAGTATTAAGTAATAAAAGCAAAATTGGGAAAGTCCTTTTTCTTTAAAATCGTTCATTAAAAAAAATGTTAGTTTTTATTGCTTAATTATAGTGTACCTATACTTAATTCGAATTTTATTAAAATAGTTGTTGATAACTAACTTCTCAACGTTCCTAAATTAATATGAAAACTGCGGTTGCGTCAACGCAAATACTTTTCCATAAAAATTATTGTTCCCATCCATAAAATTATTTAAATTATCATGTTACCTACTATAGTATAAATGACAATTGATTAATAATTAGGTCATAGGTCATAAACTTGAAAATAAAAAATATTTTTTTTGCAAAAATTTATTTTGTGCGAAATAAATTCTTGCGAAAAAATTTAACCACTTGAACTAATAAGTGTTTATTAATACTATACATTGCTTTGATTTTATTATAAGAGTAACTATACGATAAATTTATATTGAACCCCTGTTAATGTGTTATTGAAGTCTGGTGTCTATTATCCACGGTAAAATTTTTTAATAATTATAGGAACTGATTAAATTAGAACGCATATTATAAAATCACTAAAATTAGTATTTTATATAACTATAAATAAAGTGATTGATTATACGCCACGGTATTATTCTACTCAATTTTATTTCGTTTAATTGGCTATCTGAATACCAATTTGATTGAATTTTAATCGTTCAAGCTAATATTAGAATCATTGACAAATATTTTGGATTTATTTTTCGGTAGAAAGTTCCGATGTTATAAATTATATTTAGGATTAAATTATCATGAGTTTATTAAAAAGAAAAAATAAAAAAAAAATATTTTTATCAAAAATTTTTTTGGTTTTTCTAATTCTTTTGAAAAGGTGAATAGCTAAAAATTATTAAAATTAGAATTATTGCGATAGATAATCATTTATTTTGACTGTACTTTTTGCGAATATGAAGAAAGAAAAAGTGAAGCGGCTTCAGTCACATGATGATAACAAAATTTTGGCACACGCTTGGTAACATATTTTCTTAGAACAATATTCTTATAATATATTAAGTCCTTGAATTAAGCGCATGTCATTAATAATTTTATGTATGCACACTTGTATATTATACTTATGTAAGTATGTATGTATTTGAAATAATGTCGCTATTTGAAGTTTTTAAATTTGCGCATTTAATTTTAATAATAGTAGATTTTATAATTTTTACCATAAATGATAACTATTATCTTGGCATATTTATAGAATAAAATATCAAAAGAACTATATTACATACTTTTTTTTGTGCTAATATAAGTACAAAATATAATAAAAGATAAGTACACAAAGTTGTCGTACTCCAAAATCTTTATGGGAGACTATAATATTCACCTGACACGACCATTTTAAAAAAAAAACTACCTAATACAAGATTGAAGTTGATAATTATTTTTGATTTTGTTTGAAATTAAAATTAAAATGTAAAATGTATGTAAGAAATTTTTGAATTATAATGCTGACGTCAAATTTAGTACTTAACATTTTCTAACAGTTAAATATAACAGTATAGATTGATTGCCACTTTAAAATAATATTATGGGTTATATTTATATACTCAGATTATAATATAACAAAAATAGCTATGAAAGTCAATGTGGCCAGATAATGGTTAAGCTTTTCCTAACGTATTACATATTAGAATTGTAGACGTAATAAAATTGGAAGTGTAAATTCAAAATGAAGTTATACTTTCAAAAGCATTTTAACTCTTAATTTGATTTCAGTTACAGCCGTAATTTAAACAAAAGATGAACCCAAAATTTAAACAAAAGATGAACCCAATAGACATGAATGTTACTCTTGTAGTCAAGTCAATAATATTATGCTTTATGAGCTGTAAAAATTTTTGCAATATCATTGAAATTATCGTAACAATTGTGTCGAAATTGCAATTATTTATAGTTGAAATCAAAAAGAAAATATTTACCTTTTTCGGATAAATAAAGTTGTTAATAAAAGTATAATAAAATAATAAAATTTAAATACCCTTTCATGTTTCAAGTGCTTTGCAATAATATTTACAAGCAATATAATATGTCCTCTTTTAAAAATCTCTTTTAAAAATTTCCATTACCAATAATCATAATTGAAATAACAATTCTTTCAGGTTCTAAGAATACTTCACATTTTCAAAATACTAGAATTAGATATTTTTGTTTTGTGTACATACTTAGGTAATTCCTATATTAAAATTAAGTAATAGATTACTATTTTTATCTATCTACAGTATACGTCAACATATTAAATCAAATATAATAATTGAAAAAATAATTTCATTCGTGAAAATCAATTTCAAATTTCATAAATACTGAAATAAATCTTATATGAGATTATATGGAAAACACCTATAAGGAAATTCTGCATGTAAACAGAAATATATTCTATGAATCTATGTTTCTAACGAAAATCAAATTAAAAAAAAAAAATTTAATATTTTTTTTATCACAAAACGTTTTAATTTTTCTATTTGCATTTATAATGTGCGTGTTTGTTTGGAATTCCCTGACGTCAACAACAATATATTTACAATAGCTAAGATTTTATAATTAAATTCAAAATGAGTAACTTATGTGTATAGCACGAGTGTTATGAGAACAAGTTTTCAATTTTATTTATGAACAAATCATTATTTAATATTAATTATGATAATCAATGAAAATTTTATTATAACAAAATAGAATGGGTATTATTGGACTGATATTCCATTAAGAACGAAAATTTTAGTGTGCGTTTCTTTTTGTTAAATTTTCAAGTAAAAATATTTTTTTCTCAATGACAATTTAAATTTCATTTATTATTATAAACTATAAACAAACAGGGAGATTTCAGCATGTCAGGAGTCATGTATTATCAGATGGAGGGTCATATATAAGTAAAATTTTTGTTCGCAACAATCGAAGTCTTTTTCGAGCTACTGGAATTTCAAGAAAATTTGACGGAATTTTCACCCATCTAAGTTTTTTTGTTCATAGCTTCCGATCTAATAAAGGTAGAAGCTTCAAACAAACAGTTTTTAAAAGGGCTATTAGAGTATACAAATTTTACTCATTTTGGACTTTCTACCCAATGGTATATGACTCCTAACTTGCTACTGAATCACCTTATACAATTTGTTCTAAAAATTTAATTTAAAAAAAGTTAAAAAGCCGTGGTTCTATAAACGAGACATTCGTATTCAAATAACACATTTTTTGTAATTGTTGTTGCTAAATTCGAATATTATTATTTGACTATAATAATACTATGTACTATGTAAGTTAGTTTGATGGGCAGGTATTTTTAATTGGTTCATATACTGATGGCCCCAGTAAGTGAAAAAAGTGACACAATCTTTGCGACTGACCCATAATTTTCTGAAACCATCAAACCGTTTTGATGGTTTCAGAATATTTTCGCAGATTTTTAAAAAGCAATCTAGTCGATTTTTTAATAAGATCATTTTATCTTCAAAAAAGCACTTTCATATTTTATTCGAGATTCTAAAAGTTAGTTTAAGTTAATTAAACTTAAATACAGGGTTATTCAGAAAGGTATACAACAACATATTCAATTGGTTATAGGATCGAAAATGCGTAAAACATTTGCTCCGGACTGGATACCAAATCTCAAGGGTTTCTCAGTTCCAGAGACTTTAACCAATTTTCACGAAATTTTTACTTATCCAAGTTTTTTTTAATAACTTC